AGGGAGGTGATTGAATCTTGGGGTTCACACAGCTGACTTGCTGTTGGGAGGTGTAACATCACCATGGGAGTCTCCTGTGGCTCGACCCCCACTGCTGGGGTTCTTGGTCTCACACAAGCAAGGAATGCATGAGTGGAGCCAGGCTGACTTAAAACTAAAGGTCCTTCTGCAGCAGAAGAACCAACACAGAGGAGCGTAGTGTGACGCAGAGGTTTACTTACAATGCTGTGAAGGCAGAGACAAAGCTGTTGGGTGACAAGCTCACACAGCAGGGAAAGCTCCAAAGTGAGCTTCTCAGGATGGTGTCCTTGTTCTGCCCATTTTTATCGGGACTTTAAGACAATCAGGATCTTCGCCTTTGTTGCTAGGATGAGCTTGTTGCTAGGGTGGGCTAAGGGTTATGGAGTTTGAGGGGGTTTCCAGTGTACGAAAGTAGGTCTCTAAGAATAACTGTTCTATACCTGTCAAGGCCTCACAAAGGGCAATTTCCAGTAACCAGGTGGTCCTTTCTATAGCCGTCTGACACATCAGCCATGCCGCGTTGGCCATGTCCTACATCTCTGCCTGTCTGCCCTTCTCACTGTCCCTGCATTCCCTGCTTTGATGTGATCATCTTACTGGCGTAGGATGGGGAACAGGTAGGGGGTCTTGTCTTTAACCCCTTGAGGGTTGATACTTGGCTGATTGGATATAGGGCTTGTTGCTAGGGGTTGGGTCTGGTGGGCTAACAGGGGAATTGGGGTAAGCATGGCAACCTGCACTAGGAGGGCCAGTGTTGCCTTACAGAGGCAAGTATGAAAGACAGACAGCTCTAAGTCACAAAGCTCCTTAAAAACTGCTTGTTGCTCATGGCCACACACAGCCTGCATTTTCTCACTTCTAACAAGGGCTTGGGTCTTTTAATATTCCCCAGGGGTCCCTTCTGACCTACAGAAGTAAGGCCTGGTCGGAAGACCTGGAACTGGGCTCCACTTGGAAAGGTCTGTCTTTCTTCCTGGCTCCTCACTTCCCTCTCTGCTTCCTGGTCACCGTGACCTGAGCAGCTTTCCTCCACCCCGGCCCTTCACCAAGCCATTTCTGTGATTAAGCCTGTCAAAGTTGGACTGAGATTCTGAGACTGTCAGAATGGCACTGTTTAATGGAGAAATAAACTTGTTTCTGTAATGATACCGTAAGAACAAATTTAATACTATTTAAATTGTCTTGTACGTTATCAGAAGGTGAACGTCAAATACAAATGCAGTATACAGTGATCCCTCACCTATCACGGGAGTTATGTTCCAGAGACCCCTGCGATAGATGAAAATCCATGAAGTACCAGCATTATATTTATTTTATTATTTATATATATTTTAAGGCTTTAT